GTCCTCACTGAATTTTTCGGGTTGAGTTGCAAAATCCTTGTATTGGACGTTTAGGCCAGAAAAGCGAGCCGGCTGGAAAGACTAGGGTTTTTGCAAAGGTCGATTCCATAAGGCAGGGGATCTTTGGTCCCATGCACGAATGGGCGGCTGTTGCCTACTTATTTATTGATGCTTCGGCCAAACGGCTCCCGAGCAGCAGGTACTACGCATTCCGGGCTCGGCCCCGTCCGTCCGACGCTCAGTCAATTTGAGAGAGTTTCAAATCCCAACCGGTGCGAAAGTGATCTCTATTCCTCATTGCATTCAGGTACCGCGGTCAGTCCTCCTCTCCCTCCTGGCCAACGTTGCTCTACTGCAAAAAAAAAGGTAGGTGCAAGAAAAAAAGGCAAAAACTCTTATTACAACCTTCGCCCTTTCATTGTTCTAGAGAGATGCATGCTCCTAGATAAGCAAAATGAGTTCTGTTATGGGAATAATTAGGTTGGGCTTCTCCCGCCCACACCCGTGAATTCGTAGGTGGGTCAAGCCTGAGCTGGAACAATCCTCTTGAATTAACATATTCTCCGCTTTATCCGTCCCATCCCAATCTTTCCTTCTCGAATGCACTTCTCTAATGGCACAAGGAGGTGCTATTAGCCCAAGGGGTGAATCAATAGGGTTGGGCTAGGGAACTACGATCACTTACTCCGATTCTTTTCCCTTGGAAGATTGCCGCTATAGAGAACTGAGATGCTTCAAAGCCCTCTATTAGAGTTAGGACCGGGAACCAATAGAATAGAGAGAGCGAAAGGGGTGCTGTGGAAGATTGCAGAATCTTAGGACTCGCTTTAGGACAGCGCCTGCTCCCCTCTTAGTCATACTAATAGTTGGCAAAGCACAAAGGATTAGTCCAGCCACTCCATACCACTGGATCAGTTAAAGGAGACCGATGCCAAAGGTTTTTCAAGTATCCAGAAAGAGGCCCGGTCGACCACACCTCTAATGGTTTGACCCAAAGAAGGGTCTCCCGTCCCTTTCAGATATACCAACTTGAGCAGGAATTAGGGGCTGAGAGGATCACTCGCCTTGCTACCATCCTTTCTAGCGAAAGACCAGCTCAATAGTAGACATCCCCCGAGCTATAGCTATTACGATTACGAAAGTCAGATCGTACTGAATCCCTCTTTGCCTCAGTGATGAAGGAAAGCCCGGGTAAGTGAGACCTTGACTTTGACTTCCAATCGGCCTAGGAAAACCGTTTTCTGTAGCTTTCAAAGTGATGGGATCAAGCAGTTACTCAATAAGTTGTCTTCCGTTATAAACCCAGAAAGGGGTTAGTTGGCCACTTTCCTTCTTTCCCCTCAAGATGTGCCCTTGAATTTCAAAATCCTCCACTCGGATCTTAGGGATGGAATGACTTATATAAGAGATCGGTCTTAGGAAGCCTAAGGTCAGGGAAAGGTACTCCTTTTAGTAAACCAGTACCAGTCTCTGTTCAATCCAATCAGTGGGAGTGGGAGGCATCTGACTTATAGTATAGAAAGGTCTTCGTCCACACCTAGGCGGTGTGAAGAGTTCATGCTTCTTAACAGTAGCTGCCCATTTCTTCCTTTCCTTACTTTATTCGATAGGGGCGAGTGACCCATTACGTTAGAAGGCCTCCGGGTAAATTATTACAGCTTGAAAGTCTTCTTTATCTTCTTATCGTTCGTGACCAATTCCTTATTAATAAAGCTCACTGAACTGTCCGTAGGTGAAGACCCAAGAAGGAAGGGAAGTAAGCAAGTAAGGAAAGGGGGTCTGCGATTAATAGGTAAGCCTGTGCTGCTAGTCTTAAGCTAGTGGTAGGGCAGCAGTAGGCCAGTAATCCTTCTTTCTTTCTAAGAATATGCCTTTCGGGGCTTTCCTCTTTCTCTTTGTTAGAGGACAAAAGCGCCATGCTTTATACTAAGAGTCGGTCCTGTGCTTCCATTAGTAAGGCAGGAGAGGAAGTCTGTGGGTAGTAAGGACAGTAAGTAGTAAAGCAAGGAAGGAAGTTGAATTCCCTCTTCAGTGGCCCACTACAATAATGGGTAACATATTCTCTTTGAATTCACTAAGAAGGGCCATAAAGAAAGGTTATATTCTCTCATGTGGGAATATGTACCGAAAGAATGAGATAGTTTATACATTACACTAAATTGAAAGTGGACATTCTATCGAATCTCGTAGTGGACAGGCAACTCTTTGCTTTGAAAGAGTCTTGCTTGCGGTTCGTGACCTAAGCCGGATTTGAATATAGCTATGGGCAAGAAAGCCCGAGAGTCAGGTACCTCGCTTGAAAGCAAGCAGTTTCTTAAAAGAAGCAAGGTTACTTGTACCTCTCGCTTAGAAAGAGCTGCTACCGCTCCTTTTGGTATTGAATTAGCTTAGTGTGGTGAAAGGCTAAGGTTGAGTTACGGAGCCCTTTTTCTTTGAGGCGCTAGAGAAGTGAGATTTTAGAGCTAGACAAGACAACAGGGGAAAAGGAAGGTAGGTCAGA